AGAGAGAGAGAGAGAGAGAGAGAGAGAGAGAGAGAGAGAGAGAGAGGAATACCAACCTTCAAAAGGAGCACCACAACAGGCCAGCATGAGGTGGTCCCCGGTGAAGACACTGTCCGTCGTGTGGAAGACGTCCCCGTGCAGTCTCCATACAATGTGACCTCTGGTGTGACCTGGGGTCCACACGGCCGTGAACTTTAGCCGACCAAACCTGGGGTAAAACATGCATGTGTCGGTGCTGCAAGAGTTAAACTGTTAAGCCCTTTTCAACAGTGTAAGGTATTTCAACCCTATCCGTACGCCCAGGGATCATTTTGTACCCCGGGGTTGTATTCTTCACATTTTAGAATATTTCTATTACGAAGATCTTTTTGAAACGTTCAGTGTTTCTTTAAAAAATTCAGGTGGAAAGACTGCTATTATGGGAAGCGTACCGACCGGATTAATGAGTAAATAATTTCCTCTTTGGAAATAGGTGGCACAGAGTTCCCCAAGTCGTATGGAGTATGGATACGATAGTAAAACGTGACGTACGTTAACCCTAACAGTATCTCGGAATTTGGCTTCCGTCTGGGATTGGACTGCGCGTAGTAAGAGTGAGGGCCTTCATCTCTCTCTCTCTCTCTCTCTCTCTCTCTCTCTCTCTCTCTCTCTCTCTCTCTCTCTCTCTCTCTCTCTCTCTCTCTCTCTCACTCACCCCCCCCTCACACACTCACAAAATTCAAACTTAAAATCGCATGTAGCCTATAACAATTTTTAAATGAGAAAACAATTTTATTGTGAACTCAATCTGGGGTGGCATACCAAAACAGCTCAGTCGATTGTTTTTCAGGACTGTGTACTGTGTACAATAAATAATATTTTGGCTATAGTTTAACTGATTAGTCCCGAAAGCAAAGATACGACTGTTTACCAGTAAATGTCAACTTGAGATTGAGAACCCACTCTCCACTCCGTTAAACATGTCTCCCTGCATGACGCCATGATCCATGTTAAATCCCGGAGGTGCGTAGTAAGTAGCTCAAACATCAAACAAGTTCCAAAGGAAGGGTCAAGTAAAATTGCACCTGTTCTGTAGAACAACACATCTCGCACACGACGGTAAAAAAGGTTCAGTGGCCGAGGGGCTAGCGACGTCAAGTTCACCTACCTACATTATATATATGTTACGGTAAGAATGCGTACCTAGTGAATACGCGTAATCACTGAATATTTTAGTGAATACACGTAATCCCCGTTTCACTCAGAGGTTTCACGTAATCACTGAAATTTCTAGTGATTACGCGAAATCCCTAAAATTAGACCTATCATTTTACGTGTTTTTACTACTGAGCTTTCAGTGAATTCACGTAATAGCCCCGCCAATGTACAGAGATTACGCGTTTTCACTGAAATATTCAGTGATTACGCGTATTAACTAGATTGATTTACGTGTTCTTACTGTAGCATAGATATGCCAGCTGGCGAACAAGGAGACAACGTTTGTGTGCCAGTTCCACTTGTTGATCGAGGGAGAGGCGATCCTAGAAATATCCTTGATGTCATAATTGACAGACAAG